TCCCAGCTGAGGCAAATTATAACTGTGCGCTCACCTTACGAATGTCCCAGTATCTATTGGTAAACGATGAAAAGGCCACCCTATGTTTAGGAAGATCAATATATGCGATGAAGGGATGTCTTCGCGCTACCACCCGGACCCCTTTTCCCATGGCCGAGAGGCTGGGTCAACGCTGGTCGGCTAAGGACCATAGCGGGCTGTCGAATGATAGAATTGAAATATGACTTTAAAAATATTATAGAAGCATCCAACCTTACTCTATTTACAGATTTACGTGGAAAAGAGTGGAGCCGTTTTTGAAAAAATATCTTTTGAGCTCTTCTGAAACTTGGGCGATTTTAGATTTATTTTCACGAAGAAGTTTTGAATTTTCCAGAAACGTCAGATAAAATAATTTAAAATACTTTTTCTCGCAAATGTAGCAATTCACAAAAAGACCCGTTAATGTAAATATTAACGACGTGCGAGATGTAGTAGATTATATAACTAAGGAGAGAAGTGTCTGATTTATCCTGAGGTGCAGGTTTGAAGCTCGAGGGCTACAATTATCCTGAGGGAAAATGGCTTTCTCTCATGAGTTGTATATACAATTTTTTTACAGCCGTAATTAGGCGTACGAGTTTAAAATGCTAATAAGTGATTTTTCTCCCCTTAGTTCTTGCGTGCTGGCCTCTAAGCGAGAGTAACTACGAGGTGGCCATCTTGTTTGGTAACTACGAAGCTTAGTAACCATCTTGTTTGGAGCGTTCTTTTGTTTTTTGTGAAAGTATAGTATTTAGTACAGGCTCATTTCAAATTTGAATTCGAAATAATGGAATTTAAAGAACTAAATGTCGCAATGAAAGCTAAAGAAGATTTTCTTCCAAAAAAATTGAAAAAACTATATGAAGTTGCTTATGTCCGGTTTAAAGATTGGTGCCAAGGAAAAGACGTGAGAATGTTCAACAATCACACTGAAACTTACCAATTAGACAATTGAGTGTAAAAATATTTTGAACATTAGTTTTAGAAACCTTAGGAGTGTTAATGTAACTGCGAATATTAGTAATTATTATGTATTCATTTGTATTTTTTGTTAATATTTCAAGTTTCATCAAATTTAAGTAATGTATACAAACATTACTTTTGCCCGGCGGGAGCAAATGACGTCCTTCTGTCCTGCTTCTGGTGGCCTCAGAAGGCTGAAGAAAAAACTTAAGCCTTTATGAGATCTTGTTTTTAAAATTACGTCAACTTCAAGAAAAAATTACTCCAAATCTACTCAAATTTGAAAAAAAAAATACATTACCTTATTTAAAGGACTAATTTTAAAGCCAGTGTTCTTTCAAAAGAAAAATCTTTATTTTCAACATTGTAGTTGTTAGCGTCATTATATATACGTTCTTTGTTCTATCGGAAGAAAAATATTTAATGTGAACATTTGAAGCAATTTTAGGGAAAAAAATTGTGTATATTCCTGACGCTTCGTGTAAGGTACCCTTCAAATTTATAAAATTTCGTTTCAAATTCTGGGAGCCGTAACATCAGTCAGACCGATTGGGGAATATCACTTTTGATCAAAATCTTTCTGTTTAGCCACTAGCGATGTTCACAGACAGATGATCGGACAGACAAACTGACTGACTTCTGCCTAAACCAATTGTTTGGTAACAGGGACTCATAAGACGAGGAGTCTGACTGCATGTGTCACAGGAACAAAAATTATCCATTTTTCGGTAGCAGGAACCTACAACGCGAATGTTTCTGCTACGAAATCTCTGTTTTTCGCCGCAGTATTTTATAGCTATCTTAATATTAAGTATGCAAGGAAGTAAAAAGGCAATTAAAGTATAATCACAGATTATCGAAATTATATATTTAATACTTAAATATTTAATACTTATAATGTATTCAATTGAGATACTAAATTAATTTCGTTTCTATAGAAACTTAGCGAAATCCCCGGCGTTTGCCCGGGCATTATTTCAATCCAGTTCTTGCGAAAGAGGGGGAAAATATATATAAACCACTGTGTTTAAGTTTATTATTTTTAATGTAATTGGTTCAAATTTTAATCAAATGTAATATTTCTTCATTTTATTTTACAATACATTGTTTTTAGATTAACTTATAGAGATGTGGTAAGTAGCTTTACCTCTAGCGAATTATTTGGTACCAATTCTACTGCACCGCTACTGGCCTCTGACGGCCAGTATTAGGAATGTTAGGGACCACTTTGTTCTTAGCGACAGGAAAAAAGTAGTGATGGTGGTGCATCTATCAACGTATTATTTAAATGTATTTCCCGTGTTTGTGTTGTATATGCCTTTACCAACTTTTGAATAGACACAGCGAAAATCCTGAAGAAGAACCTGTACAAATTTCTTGTCTAAGCATACCCTACTTTTTGTGGTATCAACGTCAGTTACATGTCGTTGAATTCATTTTTATTAGTTTAGATTAGTAAATCTCTATTTGTATATACGGCTTATGGGCGGAGGATAAGCCTTCCTCCTTCACCAGGGTGCTCTGCTGGAAGTTCATTGAAAAGTGGTTCAATGCATTCAGGAATTTGAAAATACATTATTGAGCATTGTAGGTAATTAACTATAGTGATTTCCTCAAGACTGGGGTGTATATTTTCTGGTACGACAATACAACGGATGTGTAATTGGTGGTGTACAATGATTGTTCTTAAATACATGAAATACGAATGACGTCAGTAACAGAATATTGTGAAGTCCAAATTTTTTGATTTATCTTTTTTTAAAGAAGCTTAAACATATATTTTGGAGAGTGTGATGAAATAAGCAAATATTTTTCTTGCCATTAATCTAAATTAAAGGTTTGTTGGAGAAAATAATAGAACATTTCTATATGGTTCTATTGAATGCACTCAAGGTTTTATATTAAATATATTTATAGGAAAATAACCCTGGACTCTAAGAGAATAAAAATGAGGGCACCTTACTTTGGATTGCTTGTAGTAAGTTCATGCTATTTTTTATGCATTTTACCAAATTGTCCAAGAATTATGTTATAGAAGGCCGTGTTCTGCGAGGCATCGACACCCAGTGACAACCAAAGCCAATTATTTCCAAACACCCATTTCCAATAATTTGCAGCCGTCTTCTTTAAGGACCTTACTATTAGATCGCCAAATCAGTGATAGAATAAGATCATGAAAACGCTGATGATCGGACGTCTCTAGTGGTCGGCCCGCCTTGTGTAAGATAATGTGCTCTCTCTCACTCGCCAGTTGGGGGATGGGGCACGCGTTCGCCTCGCAATTGTTGCACGATGTCCCTGGCCGTGGAATAAAACTCAAGAACGCCCGTGTGATTGGCTGCAGCCGAGACAAAAGACGCTGACTCAAGCAAAAACCTGCCGCGCGCGTGTTGAACGCATAACATATTACTTTTTTTTAACGCTCTTCGCTGTTTTGTAGCAACAGCCAAAGGAATTTGTGTATGACGCGTGGTAAGAAAATCATTATAATGATCTGAGTGTTTAAGCTTTGATGTATTTTAAAAATCGAGTAGAGAAACGACATCAGTAGTGGCCATTGAGTCTGTAGCGGCCATTTCAAAGCACAAAATTTGAACAATAAAAATTGGAGGTTTCTCATTTGCTTTAAACAAGCAGAACGTGGGGCTTATGCCTTCTAGTAGTGATGATTACAACGACAATAATTTATTTCTAAATTTCTCTTATTTTACATTTAAATAAGAAGCTAAAAAATCGAATAAATTTGATATTGCAATAATGTAACTTGAAGGGTACTCTTGGATTCAAACTCCTTCAGTGGGTATAATCTCGATTGGCCGTAATTGAATCGAGTATCAGTCCATTACCAACATTTTTCAGTTTTCAAGTGTTCTGTTCAGAACAAGGTATGTTTCCCGGGTTCTTATTAATCACAATAGTCAATTCAACAGAATCAGCAGGGAGGCACAATCACCATTCTCCCAGCGCCTCCCAGCTCTACCACACTCTCTCCTGCCCTGCAATATTCTGACCCTTCCCCGTCTCGCTCTGTCTCACTCCGTCCGCTTCTAGACCTTCAAATCCTTCCTCTTTCGAACCCATCTTGCTCTGCCGCCCTGTCTCGCCTCGCCCGGCCCTGCCCCGCCGTGGTTGCAACTTCCTATGGACAAGTGTAAATATATGCATTGTTGCATGCCCGGAAGAATCTATTAATAATTTTGATAATCAATTTCTCAAAATCTAATTATGTTATCAGAATCAATCAAAATGCATTTCGTAGAACATAACAAGGGTATTGAAAAACTTTTAATATATTTTAATGTTTTTTCGAAGCGTTTTCATTATTTTCGCAAAACAGAGAGCACACAATTTTTCTTTCAGGGGTAGGAAAGTTGGATACGGGCTAGTAAGAAATTCGTTCGATTTTTTTATTTGTGATAAATAACTCTAGAAAATAAAGTTTTAGGTTAGACTAAATTGCATTACATCATGTTTCTTCCACTGGAAACTGATACGCTTCATTTCATGACAAATGTACTAAAAACATTACCTACCATTTTACTTTCTCGAGTATACAGAATGTCTTAGAATAAATGTTACACATTCTAGGATATGCAGAGGGATCGTAAAGGATCACTCTTTACGAAAGCAAAACACGGATAAATTGACTCTTAGAAAGTTGTATGCATTTATGCATGTGATATATGCCCCTGATTGTTACGCAACCTCGTATGTTCACATGTTCGGCAGGTTCATCAAATCTCCACGACAGCGTCAGAACATGATCTCTCAAACATCTGCGCAAAAAGAGTTGCTTAAAAATCAGGAGAAATGCCACGTGAGTAACTAAGTTTCATGAGATTTCCCACTTCATGTTCATTGGCAAAAAACGATCATTTTCTACCCCTCTCTAGAAATAGCATTTATTCTGAGACACACTGTGTGCTTATTGTGGAGATATGTACGCAGTGCTGCCAACAGTCTGCTCGTTGCTTCTGCTTGATGCGTGCGTGTGGGCGTTGCCCGCTGCGCAGGTGGCGCCGCTGCCCTGGCGGCAGCTGCTGCTGTCGGTGCCCGTGTGGGCGTGCGCAGTGGCCAACCTGGGCGGCCAGTGGGGGCAGGCCACGCTGCAACTCGCCGTCACCAAATACCTCAAGCTCGTCTACGGCTTCGCACTCACATACGTACGTACCACAACCCCCTTCGCAATTGCCCTTTGCACGTGCCGATGCAATTTGAGCTCCGCATTGGACCATTTTCTTCAAACTGAAAAATGTTTGAAGTGTGGACCAGGGGTTCCAAAGGGATCGGAATAGACCCCCTAGTGGGCGACGGAAGTTTGAAGGGGCCAATGGTGTTCGAGGGGTCGATTGGAAGTTACTAATCAAATATGAACAAGCTGTTCAGTATAATTAAGATGTCAATGATTAGAGATAAATGAACGTGATTAATGTTTTTTTGATTCAAAGCAAAAAACCTAAAATAATAAATTACAAATTCGCTTCTCTTCTTTCGCATTCCCTTCATTCTTGCTTACTAGTATGTCCAGAAATCTCAAAAAAATATAATCATGCATTCACAATGATATTACATTGCGTAAGAAAATACTCTTCGCGGTAGGCGCCGGAGAAATGTTGTGGCCAGTTCTTAAAAAAACGCTGAACGTTTTTTTAACCGTTGCATTAAAAGGATTATAAACTTAGCTTTCAAAAGAAGAATGGCTTAAATGATTGAAAATTGAGATATTTACGAGAATATTAGCGTACGAAATTATCTATAAGACATTTATGTACAATTCGTTTTATCATGATTAAGGATGTTGTATATTAAAGACAAAATGCGATGAAGCAAACAATTTTCTTAAAGGGGATCGATGAAAGGAAAGGGTTGGGAATCCCAGGTGAAGAAAATTCTTTTATAATTGAAGGTGGAAAAATCCACACAATGATTGTCGGTAGTATTGATAAATAAAAATGTAACCTTTATATGAGCTTCCCATTTCCATCTCTTTTTTCCCACTTATATTTAACTTGTTTTATCTAGGTGTGTGTCTTGACATGATTTAACTTTGTTATGCAATTTTAAAAAATGTTTAATATTGATTCATATTGTTAATTGTTTTATTTTTTTAGTATATCTGGTGATGTAATCAAAATAAGTCACGAAACATTGAAATCATTTGTCATAATAAACGATGAGATGAGTAAAATTTAAATTGAATGGTTGTCGTAAATAAAAATGATACGTATGTTATTTCGACAATTTTTTACATCAGTAACTTAAAAGGGGATGAAGAGAAACTTTGTAATGAGCATGTTGATTTTGAAATTTTGTTTTGCACTTGTTGATTTGACGGAAAAGTTCCCACCCCATAAAACGTCTTGGGCTCTACGCCTGTCCTTATTATATCAGTCCTGAAAGAGTTAATCGTTCAGAAGCTTAGAGTTTTTTTACTTACGTACTTTTTTTGTTTTCATCATCATGAGCTTAAATAAAATTCTGTACTTCTCAAACAGTTCATTGCGCATCAATGAATTTACATAAATAAATTAATACAATGCTTTATTTTGTATGTCGAAATAATTCCTATAAGAAATATACGCTTATCCATTGTAGTTAATAGTTACCAAACCTATTATTATTGTGTTGAACATTGGTTTAAGTAGTGTGTTATTATCGCAAAATAATATTTCTCAATACGAAACGTTATTATCATTCTCATTGCAAATTAAAAATAATATTGTAGTACCCTTAACACAGTACTTCGCTAATTCCTCTGTTTTTGTGTGTCTTGAAAATACAGGAAGTGAAACAGCAGCTTGACATATTCTGGAAAAGTGAAATATTAAACTAGTTTCACAACACCTTACATATTATGTAGCGACAATTAATTAACATTTAAGATATTAATAAAATTGAAGTTTTTTAACGTGATTGTTAAGTAAATTATTACTTGTTAAATCTGTCATTTCAGTTTCATTTTTGTTCTATTGCACAAGGTGAATTGAATGTACAAATATACTTCTGGAGCTTACTATTTTCCTTTCATCTTCTTGATAACTTTCAATAGTTACCTTAATGTTTCTTTGTATCAAAATACTCATTGCTTTCAGAAGAATTCAGTTTTAACAATAAATTGTAAGGAAAACTGCCCTTGTTTAACATTACCATACATTTTTATTTCATTCCTCTTCCATTATGCAGGTACTGCTTTAAGGAAATATTGCACATTTTGTTTCTTGTAAGATTAAGTGGAATAATGAAAGTTACAAATTCGACAGTTATATCATTGCTCAAATTTAATATTTTTTATTAAAAAGAGTATAGAGGAGTCATCTGCAGGATTTCTGGTATTCTAACACTTAATATATCTTCGTTTAGTTCATGAAAGTACGATCCAAATTTCGTAAGCAGAGTCATTAGTCCCCATGAACCAAGCAGTTTTCTATCAGGGTTTAATGATGTAACGAATACTCATCTAACGCTTTGATTGAAGTCGCTGCGTTCGAACTTATTCCAAACCTGAAATCTTAATTTTCTTTTTCTCATACAAGTTTTGGCCTAGAGGGCTATTGCGGCTTCTGTTGTTGATGCAATCTTTTGACTGACCACTCGGTTTGTCTTCACGAGGTCTGAAGTCCACTACAAATTTTCGCAGTCTCCTGTTACTTATTCTTTGTGCGTGTCCTCCGCATCCGAAACTCTTTAATGTTGTCGGCAACCGCGTGACCCTGTTGAATAGCTTTTATATCTTAATTTTTTATGAGATCTTGTATGGAAACACCAGCGACTCCTCTGAGAAAACGCATTTCTGTGACATGTATTCTGGTTCCGAATTTTACAGTCTTTGTCCATGTCTCACTTCTGTATAACGTTGCAATGGTTATTGTAGGTTTATGCTATTGTATGGTTATTGTAGATTTATGCTATTAAATACGTTTGTCTTTTATAATTGTTTTTAAGTTCCTTTTAAAGTTCAACGTATTACATTTTATCTTTTTATTTTGCTATCATTATCGGGTTCTGCGTGATACGATATTTGACAGCCAAGGAAGTTAAAGGAAGAATCTTACTCAATATTTTTCTTCTATTCCTTTCTTTCTCCTAGCCTCTTTCCCGCAAAAGACATAAACATTTTTCTTTACAAATTGTAATAGTCTTCTCATCTTTAAAATAACCTTGTTTGTTTCACATTTTTATCTTTTGCAATGATCATCTGCTCATTGCAAAATAAACGCAAAACGTTAGGCATTACGTTAGGCTCTTTCGAAATAAAGTCCGAGAGAGGTGGCTTAGAGTATCAACTGATGTCACTGCAGTGCCTCTGACCTGGAGGTCCTTGGTTCGAGTCCCGACGTTGTAAGGATTTTCGACCCTAGCTTGATAGCTACTAGATAGAGTTAAGTAGCTGTCTGGAGGAGAATTCTAGCGACAGGCTGTATCGGTAGCCGAATACAGGGCACTGATCCAACATGCGAATGCCGAAGAAGTGCCCTAACAAACGGGCCATGAACCGTGGGCGATCTTTCGTATCTCTTCCTTAACTTCCTTAAAGAAATAACATGCACTACACTTATGAGATTAATGACCTCAGCCGCTGTCGCGCCCGGAGCCACTAATCAATCAATAAATAAATAATTCAAAATGCAGCTTCATGGAAGTCTTCTGATATATTAATATTACTTAGCCCTTGTTTCCACTGCCTGATAGTTCATCGAGCTGTATACTAAATAAAACAAGCGACATGCTGCAGCATTTTCTTACACCTGAAATTATTTAATGTTGCATGAGATATTTGGCCATTCCTTAGTTTTTTTACCTCGTAAATAATTTTAATTGCACATGAAGTGCACGTATATCTGCATTCCACAATTTGACGAAGTTTGTTATAATGTTAAAAGAAAGAAATTGAAATATTAATAAAATTACCGGCTTCGATGGCTCAGTAGCCACATCCGTTGCCTCTGCAACATCGTTGACTGGAAATTCCCAAGATTCGAGTACCAACTGTGGTGAATTTGGTATTCTAGCGACAAAACAGTGTCGAATTTAATGGGTCTGGAGAAGAATTTTAGCTGCCGGCTGCTTTATTCGGTAGTTTTCCGTGGACCCTCCAGTCAATAAAGGTATATACACAAAACAATTTTTTGTTACAATAAATTGCATCAAATAATGGTTAGATAAATTGCTAAGATAAATCTCTCAGTGAAATCGTTCATGATCTATTAACGCAGTTATTGAACGAATATTTCCCTCAAATTAGTTGATCCAATTTATTTGTACGTATGTGTTGTTTGTAACGATTATTTGGTCAAGTCTTACCCACTTATCTGTGTTCGTGATCATTTGCCATTGTAGAAAATATGACGGATTAAACGTTGAAATTGAAGAGTTTTTCGAGATTTTGAATTTGTCTATTGTAAAACATGAATATGCACGAAACTTCTGCGTTATATATTTAAATGATGGGGTACATAGTAATAAAAAGAAGAACATGGAATTGTTAAAAAAAAGGGTCAAATCATGGCTACTGAAAAAAGATGCTGATTCTCAGACAATCATCACATTCTTTATCTCATGTCGCTTCTTAGACATTTACCTGCGACATCATCACCTTCTGCTCTGCTTCTCTTTTAGATTCCTTTACTCTTCTTACCTCTTTCCGAAAAGGCGTTCTAAGGTTCTGTAATATTTGCTGTACAAATGTCTGCTTCTTTAAAAAGTTTTTTGCTACACGCAACGAACTTCTGATAGACTTTTTTAAAAATATTTTTGTTTATTCAGAACTAGTCGTTTTCCGTAACTCGGATTATTACGATATAACTCGAATAACCTCCTAATAAAGTCCTTCCTCTCCATTTCTTTAACTACCTTGAGTGCGCAATTCTACCACCGTTCAAACAAACTCGCTCAGACATGACGTAACGTGGTTTGCAAATATTTTGACAGATTTATCTACAGATTATTCGTTGTGTTTATGGTAAAGCACAAAAAGTATCGCTTCAAATTGTTGCTGTGATTTATAGTACAACTTCATTAGTTCCCACAGTTCCCTAATGGAGGGATTTATCTGTACAGTTTCGGAGATCTAACGAGAACTAACTCTGATCGGCCGATAAATTGCTCCATGAATATGCTGCCAGAGCTGTACCTTAATACCACTTACCGCGTGCGATCTTTCCTTCTTCATTCTTGTCCTTTTTCTCTCCCCTTATGTACACTCTTCCCATCGGGATCCTAGAGCCGGCCTTGACTATTCTGGTGTGGTGTCCCACATCAGAAGATACCTGGTTGAGAAGAATTCGCGAAAACTGACGTGTATGTTGGCACCGGAACTAAAGTTCAACGAGGAGAAACATTGACACTTAAGGAAACTGACATGCACTGCATTTACGGGACTAATTACGATAGTGGTTTACGCTCCCGGAATCACTAGGTACGCATCCACACCCTTCTAAAAAAATAATTTAAAAGTGAAATACTATTTTCCTGCATCATATAGAAAATCAGGACTGTTACGACGTTATCTAATTTTTTAAAATTTTTTCGACAGCAAAAAATTTATAAAGTTCTGAGCCATTGAAATCCGTTGAATTTTAAATCTTTCTGTTGTGAGTATCAAATATCAGGAATCTGAAAAGCCCACTCTTTTACACACTATCTACGAGATTCAACGATGTATGGATATTGTCGAACAGTGGGTGAAATATTGACGTTATAATTCATGATATTGAGCTTTTTAATATTTGATATGATTCTCAAAATTGATTTTATTTTAGCCTACTTTATCATTGGACCTCGGAATGGAATGGGTTTCATGATTTTGTGATATATTGGGGTATCAAGGGTCGGGACAAAATTTAAGAGGTTGGGAGAGATGGAGCAGGTATAGATATAATGGCAGGGGAAGAATGGGTTGAGATGGGTGGGGATAGGATGGAGGGATCGGGAGGGATGGGAAGGGACGGGGACGGATAGGAAGGGATGGGGGAGTGATTGATGAGATGGGATAGAATGGAGTGGAACGGAATAAGATTAGGTCATATACAAATTAGAAGTCACAGAAGACAATCCATTAAGACCTTTGAAATGGATGTAACAAAAACTTCAGCAAAGGGTTACGCAGTCGAGATCCATTCCAGATCGAACGTCTGTACGGTCGCTATCGGTTACATGATTCCCGCGCACCAGAAACAATCCCACATGCTGTAACATCTCGTGCTGATAAACAAAGATACCGAGCGAAATAGCGAAAGGAGTTGCAGCATGTACGCATTATCTGGCGCAGCTGGAGGCTGCTTGTTATCAGACGGCCGTGTCCGCGAAATGAGCGCCGCCGAAGGAACTATTGCGGGAGAATCGCCACCCCCCACCCGCACCCGGCGCTCACGCTCCGCGCTCGCGCCGCCCCCGCGCCGGCCGCGTGCCACTCGGGCGCGTGGCAATGATCGCCAACGCCAGCGAGGGGGGGGGGCTGCCTACGTCATACTCACCACGTGCTTCCGCCCACACGCGTATCTCGTTAGCGACGTCTTAAATAAGAGGCTCGTAAGTTTTAAGAATGGTGGACTTTTTTGTGTAGCGCTAGTTATTTTTATGCATCAAGGGCGTTATAAGGGTTTTACAGATCAAGGGACGTCAAAATGCCTTTGGGCTTTTGCCCCAAGGGATTGTTTGCCGGCCGCGGTTAATAAAACCAGAGGTACATTCATAAATTTATTTTTTAACTATATTTTTCAGTCAGATTTACTTATTTACTAATTAACTACTACCGGGCGAGGTGGCTCAGTGCATCAACTGACGTGACTGCAGTGCGTCTGACCCGTAGTTCCTAGGTTAGAGTCTTGACAGTGGCAAGTTTTTCGACACTAGTCTGATCGGTAGTTTTCCGTGGTTTCTCCCATCAACACCAGGCGAATGCTCGAGCAGTACCGTGACAAACGCGCCACTGACCGCGCGCGATCTTTTCTTCCTCTTCCATGTTCTACCCTCACCCATTACACGCACTTACACTAACATGCACTTCACTATCACACAAGGCGGGAGACCGGTCGGGAGCTTTGAGCGTAACCCGGCTGGGGCGGTGCCCCGCTGGTGGGAGAGACCTGGTTGAGGGAAACCTCGATAGCCGACGGGAGGTCGGCGCCGAACCTCACCATTCAGCGGAGGATGATCACCGCCACCTCACGAAAAAACGTGCAATACACTTACGGGACTAATGACCTCAGTAATTGACGCCCTGACGCGGTTTGTCTTTTTATATTTCTCGTCCTATAATTCCCTTTCATAATTCTCTCCTTGAGGGGACATATAGCATCATTCAACTGTTTTCATATTTTCCTCGTAACCACGGTCCTCTCGATCCAGGCATGTTATGCAGCGTAACCGAACTCCGTATCGAAAGCAATAACAAGCTATAACGTATCAGTACAAATAATATATACTTTACTGGATTATTTATGTGAACATCAATTAAAAAGAATGTGTAGGATTGAATGAGAATAGTACTGTGTATTATTTACACGTGGTATTGAACTTTGTTTTTATGGTATCATGGATTGTCGTTTTATTTGTTTATTTATTGAAATATCCGTAATTAAGCGCATTCATGGAGAATCCGGATCTTGCCGCAAATGCTAATATTAGTTTTTGATGTTTACACTCACTAGTCTTACGTATATATCATGTCAAGACCACATTGATAGGAGCCACTTTTTATGTGTGTAGAATCTTTTCCACTAATATGGACTAATCTTGCACTTTTTTTTTTGAGAAAGCCTAAAAATACCTGTTCGGAAACCTTGATACGTTGTGAAATTAATTCCTGACTATCGTATTCTGAAAATATGACTTTCGCTAAAATTTCTCCATGGAAATTCCGAATTACCCTGTATGGGCTCAGCATCAACAGATACGAAATTAAACAAGTGTTACCCTATCAGTCACAAATGTTAACATAGAAATATAATAATGTTTTCCTAATGATCGAAAAGCGTCTGAGTGCTGTTTTATTATTTTTATTTATAACTTCATAATTTTCAATTTGCAAAAATATGATTCTGAAATGAAATATATGTGGAAAAATATGTCAATTTTTACTTCCAATTTCAGAAGTAATCACGACTATTTTCGCATTTAAGAGCTTCTTGTAGAGCCTAAAATCGGAGGGTTTAGAACCTAAATATATCAGATGACTTGTATTCAAAGGGATTAAGTCGTAGGTTTCCGCGACCAGAGTCATGTACTATCGCACCAAGGACTATCGCATATGCCAGCAGAAGAATGTGGGAAGAACGGGGAGGCCCTACGCGCACTCCGCATGCACTGACTGTCTCACCAAGTACTATATAAGAGAAAAAGATAAGGAATAACGAGGGCGTCGGGGTCATCACTGGGGTGAAAGATAGTCTGCTCGGAGAAAGTAGTTCAGCGTTCGCTTCGTTGGAGCACACGCACTGACATCAGTTGTTTCATTGCATTTCAACTTTTACAATATTGTGATCCTGAAACTTTTTCATCCTCGAGCCAAACATCGAAGATGTAAAAATGCCTAGCACGAAACATCGATGATAACAAAATCAGTTTTAATCTTTGATATACAGATGGTTGTATAGAAACAGCCGAATGTCGATATCGAGTTTTCGACTTGTTCTTTTGTCTCATTTTTTCCTCCCTTCTGGTTTTTCTTTTTAACCTTTCTTGTTTATTCCTCCCCTATAGCTTTTGTTCTTCATTGTGTTTCTCTACTATTTAAACCGGCTCAGGTAGCTTAGGGCACTAACTGGTTACTCTGACCGGGAGGGCCTAGGTTTCGAGTCCAGAGGATTTTCGACACGAGGTAGAGAGCTAGGTCGAATTCAGCCGTTGTCTGGATGAGAATTCTAGCGACCGGCTGCTGTGTTGGGTAATTTAGCGTGGTTTGTCGTATCAACACCACGCTAATGCCGGAGAAGTACCCTAACAAAAGTGCCATAGACCGCACGGGATCTGTACTGTTCGCGCCCCTGGGCATTGCCCCGTAGTCTCAGCAGCAGTGTACAGCTGAATGGTGTAATCAAAAACAGATGGTATTCAATGCGGATGATCGTTGTCGCCTAGTATTCCTGATTGTTGTTACCATTAAGAATATCTGAAAGGTATCGGTGCTTGAAATTCCCAATAGACATTGTTAATGGAAATTCTCTACTGCCATTGGCAAATGTCATTGAGCTTGCTCGTGGGCAGTTATCTATTATCACTGTGGTCAGGAATAGACAATTATATCTATTGACAGCCATTAGTGCGTTGTAGATTGATGATTATCTTTGCTGTGGAACAACGTCAATATCGCAGTGCGTTGTCAATGTCCATTGCTGATGGACATTTCTCATTAACATTGCGGATGTGCGTTGTGGATGTACGTTGTCGAAGCGAACTGTGACTGTGCATAGGCGCTCTGCATTGGCGCTGTGTACCAGCGCTATACTTGTGGGCAATGTTGCAGCGCAATATCTCTTCTTGCTAATAGGCAATGTCACTGTGCGTTTTCGATGTGCGTTGTCAATGAACATTGCCAATGTGATTATTCGCAGTGCATTGTCTCTGAGCATCGCTGTGCGTTGTCTCTAAGCAGCGCACTGCCGTGCACTGCCGCTGAACATTGCTGCTGTGCATTACCGCTGTGCACGGCCGCTGTGCACGCCGCTGTGCACGGTCGCTGTGCACGGCCGCTGTGCACGGCCGCTGTGCACGGCCGCTGTGCACGGCCGTTGTGCAAGGCCGCTGCGCATGCCTGCTGTGGACTGCCGGTGTCCAATGTTGCTGGGCATGGGCGATGTACATTACCATTGTGCATTTCCCCTGAGTATTACGCAGTGCATTGCGCTGTGTATTGCCACTGTGCCTTGCCGCTGGGCATTGTCGTTGTTGGTTGTACCTGGACATTACCTCTGTGCATTTCCGCTGAGCATCCATCTTGGCCATTGCGCTGTGCGTGTCCATTGTGTAATGCCGCTGTGCATTGTCGTTACTGGTGGTCCTTGGGCATTGCCTCCCTGCATTTCCGCCGAGCTTTCGCGCTGTGCATGTCCATTGTGCTGTGCATGTCCATTGCGTATCGCCGCCACGCGCGGGCGTTGGGTGCGCGTGAGCGAGCGCGTGTGCGCGCGCGGGCGTGCGCAGGACCACGTGCTGGGCGTGCTGCCGCCCGTGGGCCAGTGCATGGCCGGGCTGTTCCTGGGGCAGCTGGCGGACCGCGCGCGCGGCTCCGCGCTCGTCTCCTCCACCACCGCGCGCAAGCTGCTCGTCTACACCTGTGAGTACCCTCGACACAGCGCGCAGCTGCTGCAGCTGTCGCCCCTGACCGGCAGGTTCCACGCTTCGGTTCCCGCCGGAGGTGGATTTTCGTCACAAGTTAGCTAGGCTCTCTGGATAATTTTAGCGGCTGGCTGCTCTTGTCGGTAGTTTTCTGTGACTTTTTCAGGCGAATGCTGGAGCAGTGGATTAACAATGACGGCCAATAACAACGGCCCCCGCCCGTTCTTCGCATCCACATCCTGGTCAGCAGTATAGCTCTGAAGAAGGCCACAGCAAGATGGCTGAAACGTTGGTCCAATTAACTGAAACGCGGCTCATCCCGGATAGCCAAGAATACACATCCTCGTCCCTTCCTCTCTGTTTAAACGCACGTTTACAATGACATCGCAATTACATTACAATACTATCGCGGATGACGAGAGATCAGTTGGCGAAAGAGAGTTATTTGTTATCTCCATAGATTATGAATAATGTGAGCCACTACTTTACGTGCAGCCACGATCTACAAGACAAGGCCTTATATTAACAGACAACAACGGTTCCATTTGCATCGACAAACTAAAAGTGAACGAGTAATATCTGAGGTCATGTACATCGCAACTCTGATACACCCATTTGAATATGCATCAAACTGGTATATCCCCAGCAGCAATATTATTATCATCGAAGTGGCTGCTTACACGGGAAATGGGAACCTGCAAACGTTATGAACTGTTTTCTAGGCAGTGACCACTTTACTGGCCCGGCGTTACATTTTTCTGGACGGCTAAAGGTAGAACTGATCTTGGGGTGTAAAGAATGCTGATGAATGAATAATTATGGATGGAATAATCGACCAGAAGGTGGTGTGGGAAGCCATCCACATCTCAGTTACATGGAGAACCCTCCTTCATTTTACGCGCACTTAACTGCAGCCCTCTTCTCTGCATAGCTGGTCGCAGCTCCCAGCCCTGCACCCAGTAATTCCGACACAAATTATGCAACTTAACATTATTATTATTATTATTATTATTATTATTATGACTCAAAACCTGCCAATGGCGGTAGAGATGGGAATTAAATGTATCTTTTGAGTGTTGATTTTCCTGTTCAAAATACAACCTAGAGCATGACCACAAGCTATAATGGCTGACATTTCCTGCTTCCTCTCAGTATAGTTATACGTTATAAAATAATGAAACGTGCAACTCAAGTAGGTTTTGTAAAGAAACATTTTGTTGATGATTAATACATTAGAATCATGGACCAATGTAGCATGACAATGAATGAATGAATGAATGAAGGCATTGTTCAAAGATGTTTGGTTCCCCCATGAACTTTCCCCTAATTTTCTTTTAATTTACAACGTTGAGTACATTGCATTAAACTTTAAATGTTCTTTAGTAAATTACAGTCTTGGTAATGAGAACGAATGAGGCCTCCAAACTTTGGTATATAAAATTATATTAATACTCGTAAATCTAAATATTGAATGTCTGAAAATCAACCTCTTCTATAATGAAATCACACTAGAAAATTAACTTGTAAGTCCCCCTAATGTTTCTGTAGTTTAATTTTTTCTACTTTATTATTTTTTGACATCTGGTACATCTTTCAAAACTCCCAATATGGTCCAATATCTTACTGTGGGTGAACGCTGCACTTCCAAAATTCGGAAACTGCATTTGGAATTCAATATCCCATTTCTAATACAGGGGACCATTTCGCTCGTTTTCGCACGGCCTCGCCCGCCCCCTACCTCCCTGTTACCAAAGCAGGAATTCCAGGATCGTCACCTGTCCAAACACTCGACGCCACCGCACGCGACTCGAGTCGCCGCTGAGCTGGAGCGGCGGCGCTGGCGCGAACCGCTAACAGCGGAGAAATTGGGCGCCCGCGCACCGTCCGCCCACTCGGTTGCTGGAGGCGCTGGGCTGCGTGCGCTCGAGTGCGTCGTGGAGAGAGAGACGTCTCTCCCTTCGGGAAGCGTGCTCAAACATTTCCTGGAAAGGGCCGCATATACTTGGGTGTTTGTTTCTTGGCGCGTGAGGGCCTGTCTACATGATGGATTATCTCACAGTATCACGCGACTTTTTCGGTTGTGCGCGTGTTCGGGTGTTTCGATCGCGACCGTATCGAGCAGTGCTGGCGATTATTCGACATCTAACGGTTCGACCGAGAAAGACGCGAAATGACGTGAGATATTCCATCTTGAAGACAGGCCCTCACGCGCCAAGAAATGAACACTCAAGTATACTAAATATATTGGATACCGCGGGCCGGTCCGGGAGTTTTTTAGTTGAGACGGTCTGCTCAAATAATAAGCTAAAAAGTGTTTATAATGTAATAAATTTCGCCACTTTTGAGTCATTGAAGTGTTCAATGATGGGGAAAATTCAGGGTATTAAGCATCTGCTTCCGACAAAAAATCGCGGAAATGATGGTTCAGTTTACGAGAATGAATCAGGTTCTCTGTTTACAGAATGATTCAAAACCTTAGGACAGATGGAAGGCGAAGACGAAGAAGGCGAAGACGAAGGAGGCGAAGACGAAGAAGGCGAAGACGAAGACGAAGAAGGCGAAGACAAAGAAGGTGAAGACGAAGAAGGTGAAGACGAAGAAGGTGAAGACGAAGAAGGTGAAGACGAAGAAGGTGCCTTCTTCTTCTTCTTTCTTCGCTCGTCTTCTTCTTCTTCTTCGCCTTCTTCTTCTTCTTCTTCGCCTTCTTCTTCTTCTTCTCGCCTCTTCTTCTTCTTCTTCGCCTTCTTCTTCTTCTTTTCTTCGCCTTCTTCTTCTTCTTCTTCTTCGCCTTCTTCTTCTTCTTCTTCTTCAGCCTTCTTCTTCTTCTTCTTCTTCGCCTTCTTTCTTCTTCTTCTTCTTCGCCTTCTTCCTTCTTCTTCTCCTCGCCTTTCTTCTTCTTCTTCTTCTCGCCTTCTTCTTTCTTCTTCTTCTTCTTCGCCTTCTTCTTCTTCTTCTTCTTCTTCGCCCTTCTTCTTCTTTCTTGCTTTTCGCCTTCTTCTTGGTCTTCTTCTTCCGCCTTTTCTTCTTCTTTCTTCTTCGCCTTCTTCTTCTTCTTTCTTCGCCTTTCTTCTTTCGTCTTCTTCGCCTTCTTCTTCTTCGGCCCTTTCTTCTTCTTTCGCCCTTCTTTCTTCTCCATCGCCCTTTTCCTTCTTCTTCATCCGCCTTCTTCTTCTTTTCCTTTTCGCCTTTCTTTTTTTTCCCTTTCTTTCATCCGGGGCCTTTTTCCTTTTAAAAAAAAATGTGTGTGGTTTTTCCCCTCCTCCTGTGTA